CAGTCAGGCTGAGAAAAAGATCCTGGCTGTTGGGGAGAATGGAGTGCTGGGTGTTCTCCGCAAGCTCGTCCTCCTCGTCCTCCTCTTCCCGTCCGCAGAATCCTCAAGTGTAGCTGATGAGATTACCCCCGCCTCGGAATCCACGGTCAGAGGTGGGGTAGTGGTGGCGGCCCCCCCTAGAACTGCATGCAGCTTGGTGTAGAAGCGGCATGTCTGCGGCTCTGACCTGGAGCGACCGTTTGCCTCCTTTGTTTTTTGATAGGCTTGTCTGAGCTCCTTGACTTTCACGCGGCACTGATCTGAGTCCCTATTGTGGCCTCTCTCCATCATGCCCTTGGAGATTTTTTCAAAAGTTTTGGCATTTCGTCTTTTCGAACAAAGTTCTGCTAGCACCGAATCCTCTCCCCATATAGCGATCAGATCCAGTACCTCCCGTACGGTCCATGCTGGTGCTCTTTTTCGATTATCGGCCTGCATGGTTACCTGTGCGGATGAGCTATCTGTGATCACCTGTGCTCTCCACGCTGGGCAAACAGGAAATAAAATTCAAATGTTTGCGGGGCTTTTCCTGTCTACCTGGCCAGTGCATCCGAGTTCAGATTGCTGTCCAGAGCGGTCACAATGGTGCATTGTGGGATAGCTCCCGGAGGCCAATACCATCGAATTGCTGCCACATTAACCCTAATTCAAAATGACAATATCGATTTTGGCACTACTCCGCTCGTCGGGGTGGAGTACAGAAATCGATTTTAAGAGCCATTTATTTCAAAATAAATGGCTTCGTTGTGTGGACGGGTGCAGGGTTAATTCGATTTAACGCTGCTAAATCCGAATTAAAGTCATAGTGTAGACCAGGCCAAAAAGCAGCAGCTTTCAACTGGATCCTGGCATAAATAAGGAGACAGTGGAATTGACAGGATTGGGTAGTGTGGAAGTGTTTCTTTGTACTAGAGAGAAAGAAGAACATAATTTTGCATATTCTGAAATCAGACAACTAGGACGTGGGGAAGCAATCGTCTAGAAGAGACTAATAGAAATGTTCATCCATCCTAACCAGTGGAGATAGTGTAGCAGTGTTCACAAGCAATGGTGCAAAGGTGGTGGGTGATATGTAGACTTGGAGATGCAAGATGCAGCATTCGTGAACAAGGATGATATTTGCTGTCAAAACTTTAAGTAAGGGAACAGTTGTTTGATGGTGCTTCTTTTGCTCTGAAGTGATTCTGACATTTAGCTGCCTGGTAAAGAAATCAAATAAATTTGTGGATTCATTTAGTCAAGACAGCCAGTGTGGTGCCAGTGAAGAACATAAAGGTGTCAGATGATATGTAATTTGATTGTCAGTGGCTTAAAAGTGATAGTTAAGTTAGGTGAGAGGTCAACAGTCAGGAGATTGAAGACTGCAGTGATCTGAGAAGTTAGCCTCGTAGGATCCCTTACTGGAGCCAAAGAAAGAAATGCTTAATAGAAAGCTGAATGCTGCAGACTGCCCCATATTACAAGGCTTCATGCAGTTAAAGTCACAATGAATTACAGAGAGGCAGCAGCTGCTCCATAGTTAAGGCTGAAGCCAGCTTTCCATTCTAAGCATGATTTTCAAACCTACCCCTTAAAGGAAAAAAAACAAAACAAAACAAAAAACACGATTCCCTGATATTTCATGTACTGTATCATCCCACTATAGACTCTCTGGAAAGTTTGGTATAAAGTCATTCAGAAGTTTGTGTTGTAGTTTTATTTCACTCATACATTGTTGTTCATCAAGTTTTTTGGCTAGATCTCACTGATTTGAAGTTTCTGTGAACCACATTCTATTAAGGAGTCTTAGCCTTTCCTAAATTTTAAGATGGTATCTGCAGGTTTTGTGATAACATTTCAGGATGTTATCACAATAATAAAAAAAATGTGTGTGTGTCTCTATATGCACAAAAAGTATACTACACATTTTAAAGTTATACATTTTAATGTACTTTTCAAAACACGGATGGCCCATGGGTAGATGCTCATGAAGCGTGGAAAAGAGTAGCTGACAGGAACTAGACAAAGTGTATGTGGGTCTGAAGTGAACGAATGTGATGAAGCCACCTGGGCACAAGTAGTATTGGGAAATGGGAAAAGGAAGCCACATGGAAGAGAGAGGTTTTCTCAGAAGGAATGTGGCCTATTCCTGCATTGCTTCAGTACTTCACTGGAATCCCTGCACTGCTTGAGGGGCCTACAGGAACAATCACTGATTAAGTTAAACATTTAAAATCCAAGGATGTTGATAGAGCTAATACAGCCTTTGTTAACTTTGAATGGAAACAAATATTGTTTCAGAAAACAAGAATACTGCCATGCTTTTATATCATCACAGGAAAATGGAAAAGAAAATAAAGATTACACTTCAGATGTGCTGTCTCTGAAGGTAGGCAAATACACAGTTCAGGTCACCCAATCAAACTTTACTCTGTCCCTAAATGCCACCCTCAGAACAACCAGAAACGGACTTCTTTATCCACACAGTGCGTAGGAATTAGGACTGTTGATTAATCACAGTTAACTTACGTGATTAAACTAAAAAAAAAAAATTTACTGCGATTAAAAAATTAATTGAGATAAATCGCAGTTTTAATCGCACTGCTAAACAATAGAATACCAATAGAAATTTATTAAATATTTTGGATGTTTTTCTACATTTTCAAATATATTGATTTCAATTACAACATAGAATACAAAATATAAAGTGCTCACTTTTATCATTTTTACCGTGCAAATATTTGTAATAAAAAATATAAAGAAATAGTATTTTTCAATTCACCTCATACAAGTACTGTAGTGCAATTTCTTTATCATGAAAAAGCAATTTACAAATGTAGAGTTTTTTGGTTACATAATTGCACTCAAAACCAAAACAATGTAAAACTTTAGAGCCTACAAGTCCACTCAGTACTACTACTTGTTCAGCCAATCGCTAAGACAAACAAGTTTGTTTACATTTATGGGAGATAATGTTACCCACTTCTCATTTACAACGTCACCTTAAAGTGAGAACAGGTGTTTGCATAGCACTTTTGTAGCCGGCATTGCAAGGTACAGTATTTACATGCCAGATATGCTAAACAGTCATATGCCCCTTCATGCTTCAGCCACCATTCCAGAGGACATGCTTCCATACTGATGCATGTTAAAAAAAAAAAAAAAAGTGTTAATTAAATGTGTGACTGAACTCCTTGGGGGAGAACTGTATGTCACCTGCTCTGTTTTACCTGCATTCTGCCATATATTGTGTGTTACAGCAGTCTCTGATGATGACCCAGCACATGTTCATTTTAAGAATTTCACTGCAAATTTGACAAAACGCAAAGAAGGTACCAATGTGAGATTTCTAAAGATAGCTACATCACTTGACCCAAGGTTTAAGAATCTGAAGTGCCTTCCAAAATCTGAGAGGGACGAGGTGTAGAGCTTGCTTTCAGAAGTCTTATAAAAACAACACTCTGATGAGGAACTTACAGAACCCGAACCACCAAAAAAGAAAATCAATCTTCTGCCAGAGGCATCGGACTCAGATGATGAAAATGAACATGCTTCGGTCTGAACTGTTTTAGATTGTTATTGAGCAGAAACAGTCATCAGCATGGATGCATGTCCTCAGAATGGTGGTCGAAGCCTGAAGGGACATATGAATCTTTACCACATCTGACACAAATATCTTACGACCCTGGTTACAACAGTGACCTGCGAATGCCTGTTCTCACTTTCAGGTGACACTAAAGAAAAAGCAGGCAGCGTTATCTCCTGTAAATGTACACAAACTTGTTTGAGCAATTGGCTGAACAAGAAGTAGGACTGAGTGAATTTATGTTTACATTGTTTTATTTTTGAATACTTGTAGGTGAACTGAAAAATAAAATAAATAGTATTACAGTGCAAATATTTGCAATAAAAATATAAAGTGAGTACTGTACACTTTGTATTCTGTTTTGTAATTGAAATCAGTATATTTGAAACTGTAGCAAACATCCAAAATATTTAAATAAATGGTATTCTATTATTGCTTAACAGTGCGATTAATTTTTTTAATCGCTTGACAGGCCTAACAAGAACCTCAACATTGAAGTACAGGAGTATGGTCACTAATGAAATCAACATATGGACTGGCTGGATAAGAGTGTCAGAAATAAGAGTTGGAGAATTGATCTCGTCAGATAATATTTGACGAGAAGCAGCTTTTATACCTTAGATGTAGTTAATTTAGAAAAAAAATGCACTGCAGACTAGATTTCTGAAAAGAATGTTTGACTTGACAGAGCCACATGGTGGGGGCACACAGCCAGACACTGAGGGTTCCTGACATGTAGTCAGAAGTGACACCTGCCAGGAACTGAATATTAGGTGGAAGAACCCTGATCCCTGGTTCAGTGCGTCTGACTAGGGTGTGCTGGTAACCATCCATCTCTGCACTGAGAGGCAACATGATCATCATCTAGATGCTTTGCTCAAAACTGGCACACAACAAACAACTGATTAGTTATTGAAGACTTCATACAGCCGTTGGCTTGTGATTTTGACATGGGAAATATCAAGCAATAAATGGCCCTTTCCCAACCCACTGTGCTTAATGATTTGCAGAGCAATTGGCTAGTTTCTCAGACAGGTCACTGAAAGTGCTGTGTTAAGGGATCGAGAGGAGGACAGTGATAGCTGTTCAATTACAACCTTTAAAGAAACAGGTTAAATACACATTTTGGAGAAACACGTTACACACAAAAAAGTAACATTTTGAGTAATGTTAATAAGCAGATGTTTTCCTTTTTATGAACATTAAATTCACAAGGCTGCAAGGCATAGGAAACTACTTTCCAACAAGCCAAGCCACCTTCGGCAAAAAATAAATGGAAGAGTTCGGGATTTATCAGTATTCGATGCTATCTAAACTAAGGGAATCCTTCATCTGTATCTCTTATAGTTTTAAAAATACCTCCTCTTTTAACCAATAAAGAGAAAGTGACTGGTACCTGTATTTTATCGTCTGGAACATTCAGCCAGTGATTAAAGGCCTGTGACAGTTTGGTTCTCACTTGTTTACCTGTTAAAAAAAGGTTTAAATATTGAGGAAGGAAATTCCATAAGATCAAATAGACAAAAAGTCAAATACCTGTACAATAATTCCATGCCTCTATTTCTAACAATTACCACCCACCACTATAAGAACAACTGGTTCAATAAGAACAAAAGTTGATCAGTAACAATGTCCCCAATGAGTTTTGACTTAAGCTACTATAATCTGCTAACTTAAGTACTGCTGGAAGTCGGAAAAGGTGGACGGCTTCCATAACATATAGAATAAGCAGCATCTTGCTTAGTCATATCAGTGGCCTTACGTTAAACATCTCATGGTGCTATCTAGAAACAATGCTACACTACATATTGCTATCAGTTACAGTAAGTTATATTTAGACATTGCTGTAATTAAATTGGTAAAACAGTTTATAGTTGACCATGGTGGATGAAGGGCAGACTGCAAGTCTGTAGTTTATATAAATCTGACAGCAACTGACAAATTTTATAAACCTAAATTTGTCAACATTAAGGACTTTTTTGGGATATGTAACAAGAGTTATAAAACAAGGTTTCAGAGTCAGATCAATCATTTAACTATCAAACATCTGATCTGCTAGTGCACAGATCTCATGTTTTATTTATTGATCATCCCTTTATTTGCAGCTGGTCCTCCCACAATATACCAGTCTTATTTTTCTCCTGGGCTAACTGCCATCATAGTAGTCTGTATTCCACTCAGGACAACAAAAGTGGAATTTGACTTATTTCCCTTTCTGCATCGCATTGGAAATCCACTAACTAGTTCAATGAGGTTCGTTGGCAACAGAAAGGTAAGCAACTGGGCAGCAGAAATAGTCTGACAAAGCCAATACCAAAGAGATCCTTAATACACATTTTGAACAGAAGGGAAATTTTTTTCAGAAGTTTTATAAAACTATTTGTTCTGGAAATCACTCCCAAAAACCACTAATAGTAATACTTGATTCTCAGAATTAATTAACCAAAATAGAGCAAGCAATCACCTTTTTCTGAGAAAGATGAAAGACAGAAGATTTAGAGTCCAAATTTCACTTTTAGAGAAGCTAAGCTAATAATCATTCTAACTTCTGTTTCAACACAAAGTAGGAAAAATTAAATTTTAATTAGTTTAATGCATATTAATATGCATATACCTATATATATTTTGGAATGAATAGCAACTGCCAGATCAATTAGGGAGAACACTAAAACAGATATCTTAATACGAACATAGAGTTCAGGTTATCCTGAGCTCAGCTTCCTGATGGAACAATTTCAAAATCATATTAAGTCAAGCATCTCTGTAAATACAGCTCTTACTAAGAGTTCCTGGGAAAATAGCTTTATACAAACCACAAAGCTGGGCATGCCAGAGTCAGGTTTCAGACTGTTTTTACCCTATTCCTGGCAGAGCAAAATTAAAGAACTTGAAACAGATTAATTTCACATGACTAAATTAGTTTTGGGGACAATGACCAACCTCTGAGCATCCTGCAAGTGTTTTAAAGTTTGACTGTTTAAGTTAAAGATTTCAGAGTGATAGCTGTGTTAGTCTGTGAATCTGTAGTTTTAAGAACGCTTGATAGAGATCTTGTAGGTGTTTGTCTCTGTCTGAGGGATTGGAGCAAATACTCACCTGCTGAAGTGAAAAAACAGATTGACAGAGCCAGAAGAATACCTACTCCAGGACAGGCCCAACAAAAAGTAACAGAACGCCACTAGCCATCACCTTCAGCCCCCAACTAAAACCTCTCCAGCGCATCATCGAGGATCTACAACCTATCCTAAAGGATGATCCCTCACTCTCACAGATCTTGGGAGACAGGCCAGTCCTCGCTTACAGAAACCCCCCAACCTGAAGCAAATACTCACCAGCAATCATACACCACACAACAAAAACACTAACCCAGGAACCTATCCCTGCAACAAAGCCCGTTGCCAACTCTGTCTACATATCTATTCAAGGGACGTCATCATAGGACCTAATCACATCAGCCACACCATCAGAGGCTTGTTCACCTGCACATCTACCAACGTGATATATGCCATCATGTGCCAGCAATGCCCCTCTGCCATGTACACTGGCCAAACCGGACAGTCTCTATGCAAAAGAATAAATGGACACAAATCAGACGTCAAGAATTATAACATTCAAAAACCAGTCGGAGAACACTTCAACCTCCCTGGGAACTCAATTACAGACCTAAAAGTCACAATTCTCCAACAAAAAAGCTACAAAACAGACTCCAACGAGAAACTGCAGAAATGGAATTAATTTGCAAATTGGATACCATTAAATAAGGCTTGAATAAAAACTGGGAGTGGATGGGTCATTACACAAAGTAAAAACTATTTCCCCATGCTAATTTTTCCCCTACTGTTACTCAAACCTTCTTGTCAACTGTTTGAAATGGGCCATCCTGATATCATTACAAAAGTTTTTTTTCTCCTGCTGATAATATCCCACCTTAATTGATTAGTCTCATTAGAGTTGGTATGGCAACACTCATTTTTTCATGGTGTGTGTGTGTGTGTGTGTGTGTA